GGGACAGAGGTGGAAGCCTGCCTATCCGCCCTCTCCGAAGCCAGCGCAACCCCCAGCCCCAGCATTTGGCAGGGCCTGGCCTGTTTTAACTGTTTAGGTAAAATTCGAAAATGTTTCGCAGAACCATTCTTCCCTTGATACACATCTCATGTCCCATGGTGACGTTTTTCTTAACATTTGTTTATTGTTTTTGGAGGACAAGCAATAATCATAGAATATTGGCAAATACCAAAATAGCCAAGGAATGCACTAAAAGTCCCTGCAAGTCTCTCCTCTTCCTTAGTAACCGACGATAACCTTTGGGAGACTTTGTTTTACAATTTTATTTATTGATTTTTTAATGTTTATTTTTGAGAGAGAGACAGAGTGCAAGTGGGGGAGGGGCAGAGAGAGGGAGACACGGAACCCGAAGCAGGCTCCAGGCTCCGAGCTGTCAGCACAGAGCACGACGCGGGGCTCAAATCCACCAACCGTGAGATCATGACCTGAGCCGGATGCTTAACTGACTGAGCCACCCAGGCGCCCCTGTTTTACAATTTTAACGCTAACGTGCACATATTTATATTTTTATCAGAAAAGCGATCACACCCAGCACGCTCTTTTGTAATCTTCTGCATTGAACAATTTCCCAAGTATTTTCCCATGACATTAAATATTCTTTTGCAATGTGATTTTTAAGGAAAAAAACTGATTTTATGCATACCAATTTCCATTAATTCCACAAACCCTCTTTTAAAGTTCTTCAGATAAAAAAGCATATTAACTCTGGGGTGATTGGGTGGCTCAGTCAGTTAAGAGTCCAACTTTGGCTCAAGTTCATGATCTCACAGTTCGTGAGTTCGAGTCCCATGTCGGGCTCTATGCAGACATTTGAAAGCCTGGAGCCTGCTTTGGATTCTGTGTCTCCCTGTCTCTCTGCCCTCCCCCACTTGCGCTCCGTCTCCCTCTCAAACATAAACAAACATTAAGAAAATTTTTAAAAAGTATATTAACTCTAATGTATGCTGAGCCCATGGGTTGAATATCCGCCGCGAAAGCACTAAGACTTTAGTGTTTAAAGCACAAGTGTGGGAGTCACTTTGGTGAATCAGCTTCTGTACGTTGAGCATGGTGGACCCCAAACATTTGAAATTGGGACTCATCAGAGACGGTAGCAGCCTCAGCAGATGGTGTATTTCTGCACTCGATTCTGATTACACGGGATTGAGAAAATTCCTGATTCATAATAATAAGGTCTATTAGTTCCTGAACTCAGAATGAATTGGGCCCTATGCCCTGAGGTAGGGACTGTTAGAACACCCATTTCATAGACGGGCACACTGAGGCTCAGAGAGTTCAGTGGGGCTTGTGAGAACCTGGCGCTGCCTCTTTGCCTCTCTCAGAGAATCCAAGTCACAGACGGGTCACCCTGAACTTGCTTATGAGGACACACCTACATCTAGCAGTAGATTTGGCTGCAATCCCCCCTTTCCTTGACATGTTTACAAGGCAGTCAAATATGTGCCCAGGATCGGGGAGAATTTTCATTCCAGAGCCTGCAGGAAAGCCAGGTAGGTCAGTTAACACGGGGCAGTTAAAATGTGGTGGGTATCACATCTATGTGGTGTTTAAAAAATTTTTTTTTTAATGTTTACCTATTTTCGAGAGAGAGAGAGACAGACAGACAGAGCGTGAGCAGGGGAGGGGCAGAGACAGAGGGAGACACGGAATCCAAAGCAGGCTCCAGGCTCCAAACTATGTGGGGTTTTAAAGCTCTGGGTATGTTGTTCAGTATTTTAGAAACCACTTTTCTTGTTTTTGAAAAATAATTTCTAATATATATAGTATGAATTATATATATTATATATGTACACATTATTATATATGTATATATATTCTGTGTATATATACTGTGTGATCTATATATTATATATATAATATATATAATTTTTATAAAAATGAGATCATGCCTCCTGTTCTGCTCCTTGTCTATTTACATAACAAGATGATCTATGACACATCTAAACCCTGGAATGCATTGCAACACTAAAAAGAAAAAAAAAGAGGTGAATTCATAAATACTGAATGGAAAGTGACCATAATACATAGTTAAGTGAAGAAAGCAAGTTACAAAGCAATATTTTATAGCATGATTCCATTAAATGTGTGTGCACTTATATAAATATCTATAGATGTATCTATATTAAACTGTTGAAAAGCTAAAAAAGACATTCATCATGTGTCAATAGCAATTGTCCAGGGGGGATGGACCAGATTTGGGAGAGGGGTGATGATTTCCTGGGGCGTGAAATATGGGACGCTTCCACTTCTAAATTTTTATAATCTTTAAGTAGAAGGGTTATAAATTCTTTTAAACATCATTCTGAAAACATTGACCCATTTCTTTAAAAAGACCCAGCCCTGAATATGTTATCCACAGGAATAAAAGTACTGTATGTGCAAGTTTTTCTACTCTGCATTTCTTGGAGCTTTTTCCACGTTAAAACATTATTTTTTACTACTGTGTGGTATTCTAGAGTATAGACATAGCATAGCTAACTTAACCAGTCCCCGACAGAGGCTCATTTAGGTCACTGTAATGAACATCCTTATGTATACTTGCCAATTATTTATGTCATGATGACATTTTTCTATATTGGCTCATGTAGTTCTCCTTTTTTTAATGTTTTTATTTATTTTTGAGAGACACAGAGCACGAGCGGGGGAGGGGCAGAGAGCGAAGGAGACACAGAATCCGAAGCAGGCTCCAGGCTCTGAGCTACCAGCACAGATCCTGACACAGGGCTCCAACTCACGAACTGTGAGATCATGACCTGAGCTGAAGTCGGGCGCTCACCCGACTGAGCCACCCAGGCGCCCCAGATCATTGCAGATTTTTAAAAGTATATTTTAAAAAGTTTGATATCTGAATTCAGCATTTGCAGACCATCTGTGGAGTAAATGAGGAGTGTGGGAAACGTCATTTGATGGAGGAGGAGGCCAGGCCCTCTTGGCAGGGCCTAATTACTATAAAATGGACAGAGGATGGCCTGTTTCAGAGAGGACAAAAGAGCGAGGATGAGATTCGTAGAGTTTTGCTGTCATCCACCCATTAGAGAACTTGCTGGAAGCTACAGCCCGTAGGAGGAGGTTATCTGTCACCCATACAAGCCCAACAGCCCGAGCTCTAATTTTCCTTTGATAAACCACCCCCACTTCCCAACACCACCCTTAGCAGTATTAATTCAGATACCCTCCCAGGGTTCAATCTAAGTTTCAAGGAAACCTGCTTCATTTGCAGACAGACTTTCTCATAGCTAAGCAACACAGCAGCAAGAGAGGCCTCTCTCCCAACAGCTCTACCCAAGGTCAGGGATTCAATCTCACTGTCTTACTTTAGAGTCTAGCCCATC